GTGGGGATGGGGGAGAGGGGGAGGGGATGGGACGATACGGATTGGTGGCCCTGGTGTGGCCTCAGGGATGGAGAAGACAGTCTGGGGAATATAATAAAAAATGTTGTAAATATTTTTTAAGGGGTCAGATAGACTCATGTTTTGTTAGGGAGACCACTTCATAGTCAGTGTAGAGGCCTGACCACCGCACTGTATTTCTGAAGCTGATATTGAATAATAATGTATGTCAACTATAATTATATATACATATAGTCACGGGATGTGGAGTAGAGTGTGGGAATGGAGTCAATGGAATTGTAATAGATAAGAATGATATCGGGGGTGGGAGGGCAGTAGATAGGGGGAGGAGGGTTGTTAACTTTGTGAGGGTGAAAAGGATAACTATTGCATTGTTCTGTACACCTGAAACTAACAATAAAAAAATAATAATAAATTAAGAAAATAAATAAAATCAATGTTTCCTTCTTCCAAAACAAAAAAAAACAAAAAACAAAAGTCATTGTCACCATTTCAATCAAGAAAGAAAGCTTAATTCATTATTATCTGAATAACTTTTTTCCCTTGTCTCAAAATTTTGCCTAAGAACATTTGCATAGGGAAACAGTAGGGAAAACAGCCAGGAGTGAGAATAATAATTTGTAATAACCTATTTTTTAATTTTTCCATTTTCAATCTACTATTTTGGTGATATTATGATCAATGTATTGGGGTGAGTTTTAGACAAAATGTTATAAAATGAACAACTGGAAAACAAACTCTCACAGATCTCTTTAGGAATAAAAAACCTGTTCTTAGTTTAATTAAAAGTAAAATGGACTTTGTCCATAGAAACAGTGGCAGAATCATTCTTGAATTATTCTAACATTTTCCATCCTAATTGGTCAATGCCTGTCCACCAGCAGAGACCACAGTCACTTTTTCTAGTTGCCTCTTCCTCACCTTTTAGACTTGGCCTTCTAGCTCAGTTCAGAGAATCCAGAGTCACCAACATCATTTCACCTTAAGTCATATAATCCTCTTACTCTCTTTTTGGGGGAAGTTTTCTGGCTCATGCTTCATTCTCTACCAACACCAATCACAGAACCTAAAGCAAGGTGTGCGGTTGAGGGGAGTGTTGCCTCCATGCAAATTAGGGGGGAGACCTTCCATATTTGCTTTCTATTTTGCTGGAAATAAAACCACGGGTGTGGTGACTGGGTGCACCCAAGATAACATTGAAATGTCCAGATGCATGGGCTTGCTTCCTGGAGAACTTGTACAGGTTAGAGATTGGGGGGTGTGTGTGTGTGTGTGTGTGTGTGTGTGTGTGTGTGTGTGTGTGTGTGTGTTTTGGGTCTTGAAATACAGATTTAGGAAAGTTCTAATTAAAATTTATCTGAATTCAGAGGCAAGATACACATGACCCACAGGAAACAGCAGGTTGATCAATTCTCTAATAAAATCAAATTATGTAGACAGAATGCAGTGGCTGATCTCTGGTCAAGTCTCTCTTTTGCATGATTATGTAATTCCTGATATTTTTACCAATTGTAGTGACAACTTTTGCAAAATGTAGAAGAATACAATATGTAAGACCTGACAGGGCTCTGACGTGTATTAATTTAGTCCCCATGTTACAGATGAAGACACTGTGACTTACAGGGACTGAGCAGTGTGTCCCAAATCACCCAGCACACAGCATGTTAGCAACAGTGTCAGGGGCAGATCCTAGGTCTCTCAGTAACCAGGTCATGGTTTTTGTCTAGACAGCCCTGGTCCCTCTTCTGGACTTTCTGGAAACTTCCTTGTCTGCCATGCGATCTTCATGTGGTTTATGTGGCATGAGTGAAAGGGTGAGATGGAGGTCAGCAGGACACCTCGCACCTTCTCATCCCAGTTCCAATACCTGTGGAACAAAAGTATTATCTCTGGTATTTGACTTCCTGTTCTTAAAAGCAGGGACAACTTTTCCTGCCCCTGGCATTCCATATGGAAATAGAGAAAGAGCACCAGAGAGGAAGTTGAGGTGGAGATCCACCTTTGCCATTTTAAAGCATCTGTGGTTGAAGACACTTGGACAAGTTCTTTAACCTATGTATACTTCATTTGACTCACCCCCTAAAAAGTATATGGTTGGGAGATAGTAATACCTGCCCTACCAATTTCTGTAAGATTAAAATGGAAAGATGTAAGTGAAACATGGTTTATGAGTTAGGAGTGGGAAATGTGAAAGTCTGGTTTAAGATAGAGAGTCCCGGGGTCATTTTTTTAAGTGAGGTTAGCCAAGTGGTTTCCGGTGATGAGAGAGCCTAAAGGAAAAGCTCATGGAGGTTCCCAGCAGCTCTGGACATGTCACCTTTTCCCCCGCGTTGGTGGCGTGCTCCTGGCAGAGCCAGAGCTGAGGATGGGGAGGCTGGCACGGCCTTGCGGGGGGAGGGAGAGTGTCCACTCAGCCCGCTCTGCTCTCAAACCAGCTGGGCCTGCACAGCTCAGCAGGACAAGTGCCTCTTGGAGCTGCTTCCATAACAAATGAAAAAATAATGCCCTTGAACCAAGAGTGAAACTGAACTATCTAAGGAAAACACTGTGAGCAAACACCGAGAGCTGAGGGAAACCATCTGATTAGAGCAGCTCCCCTCAGGGGCACGGTAGGCCCACACCTTCCAGAGGAGGTGGCAGCTGGTCCTGAGGCTGCGGTCAGAGTGCCTTAGGGCTAAAGCCATGTCCACCACCACGTGCCAAGTGGTGGGCTTCCTCCTGTCCATCCTGGGCCTGACCGGCTGCATTGCTTCCACGGTGATGGACATGTGGAGCACCCAGGACCTGTATGACAATCCCGTCACCGCCGTGTTCCAGTATGAAGGGCTTTGGCGGAGCTGCGTGAGACAGAGCTCAGGGTTCACGGAGTGCCGACCCTATTTCACCATCCTGGGCCTTCCAGGTAGGCGCCCGGCAGAGCTCAAGGGCTGGACCAGGTCTAGGCAGGAAGGGGCTTTGCTCTCCCTGCCGCCAGGAGGGACCTTGGAAATCGTCGCAGGAACTGAGCCATGCTCCCACCTCTGGGTGTGACCCTTGCAGCGTTGGCTCAGAATACAAGGTGTGAATAAGAGAAGTTGGCCCCAAGTCAAAGAGGGCGATAATCATATGGGAGAAAATCAGAGAATTCACACGCAAGGCAAAGGAATAGGTAGTGAAGAAGCAAGTCATGAAAAGAATGGGTCTATTGTACAGACTATTAATGGTCCTTAAGGAAAAAATTACTTGTGTGCATGTATGTGCATGTGACTTGCTCCTGCCTGCGTATATGTGGGAGTAAGGAAGGAGGACGACATTTTCTTATGGTCAAAAAGTTTATGGAGAGCTCTTATTTAATTTTCCATTCAATTAACTTTTTCTTTGAAAAGTTGGAGTCTCTGTAGGTGCTAATATAGATAGATAGATAGATAGATAGATAGATAGATAGATAGATAGATAGATAGATAGATAGATAGATAGATAGATGTAAATATATTGCCATTACAGTCTTTTTCTGCATTTGTGTTGGGAAGTTATGGTATGCACTTCTAAAAAACAATGTTTGGCAGAATACAATTGTAAAATTATAATTATATTATAATAATGTCAGAATATAAATGTAATTATAAAAGTGACATCCTTTCACCCCTGAAGATGAAATAAGTTAAATCCCTGCTTTTAATACAGATAATTATTTCAAATATGTATCACAGAAATTTTGCATTCTGGGTATTATGGAGCTCTACTCATATTATTAAAAAATAAATAAATAGAGCTAAATAAATAAATAAATGGTCAAGCTAATCAGTGGCTCCAAGGAGTAATCAAGATATGAGTTTGGTGTCGAAAGGAAAACAGTGTTGGTTTTTACCTCTCTGAAAGAAATACCTTGTGAACAGGTAGATGGAAATACATTTGCATGAAACTCTTAAGAGCCTGTGAAGCCCCTGAAATTGAAATTGTGAAAAACGATTCAACTAATTCATCTTAATTTTCAGAAAGAAACAGAGGATGGGTGACAGAGTAGAAGAATGGGTTATTTGTTCCATTTTTGGAGGCCACTCATATTGCAGGACCAATAGAACCACAGTCTGTGAAAGACCTGCTTCAGGAAGCAAGGGAGATAGAACCTAGCCATATGGAAGAAAGAAATCCCAGGAAGGAAGGGTTATGCTGTAGTGTGAGGGGAGACGTCAGAAGGGAGAAGATGCAAGAACGTGGATAGTTGATTTGCTAGCTACACCTAATTTTAATGAAGAAAAAAGATTGATCTCATTCAAAATTAAGGCATGACATCCCATGATCTCATGCTCCATAACCTCTTCCCACAGCCCCACCACACATTATCAATCTCTTGCTCATTCTTTATTTTTCCACACATGGGGTTCCCAAATATTCCCACGCTCCTAAATGGCCAAACCCCATCACCACTGCTCTCATTTGTCTTTCCTATTTTACCAGAGGCCCCAACCCTCCTTGGGCCCTCTCAGGACCTCTCCTCTCTCCCCTGACAGTTCTACTCCCTGCGGAACAGGATCCCCTCGTCTCTCCTGTGCAAGGCCAACCTTCCCACCAGGGCTCTGAAGGCCCCATACCATCCTGTCTGGTCATCCCTGCTGATCAGCCCCTCTCCTTCTTGCCTCTTTCATCTCACCTCCTGGTCTTTGCTTATATCCTCCTTTCCTGAAAAATCTTCTCTTGATTCTGACCATTGTCAAGTTCTGTCTCTCCCTGGGTCATTAACAACCAAATTAAAAGACTAAATTTTTGTACCACCTCTCACTCTTAGCCTTTTTAAATATATTTTCTATCCTTCATCTCTCTAGAGTGTTTGCTCCTTTGACTACGGCAGAAGGTAGGGCACAATCTTCCAATCACCACCTTCCAGTTCTCAGTTCTCATCTCCCTAAATATTTTAAAATGCAAACACCTCTGTTGTTCCCCATTCCCAGCTTATTCAGGTGCAGACATGACAGCCTGCCACCCATGCCCTCCTACATCCCTCACCTACCTTTCCTGACCTATCTCTTACTATTCCCCTACCCCCAGCCTATGCTTTTCCCTGTCCATTTACTATACTTTGGGCTTGGTCCTAGATACCCATTGTTTCCACTGTCTGAATGTCCCCTTCTAGCGCCCCAACTACCATCTCTACAAATCTTCCCATAAGTGAGGTCCAGCTCAAATACTACCTCTTCCCTGGGGCCTTCTCTCATCCCTAAATTGAATTGGATCTCACAAATATCTGTACGAAACCCAGAGCACTCTGATAGCGTTGAGCATATTCTCTCTTGTGACACTGATCACAAATCTGAAAAGCTGAGACACTCCAGGCAGCTGTCACAGAGGCGTACCCCACCCCTGCCCATCTGGGTTGGAAGAACAGGGTTCCACCAAAAGCCAGCAAAGACATTTCTTGGGACTGAGTTTGCAGAGAAGGAGATGCTTTAAATTATTGTTAATTTGTGGCCATGGAGAATAGTGTGGATTTAAAAATACCCAGTTCTCACGCAGCAGGAATGACTACAATGTAAATTGGCACCCCAAAATGCAAATATTTGTTCAATGACTTAAGATTTGGCTGGCTGAGGTAAGGGATGGGTGGGAAGATGACCAAGAGGAAAAGGCTAAAAAAACCCTCAAAATCTGAAGGCAGGAACAGAAGGAGATGAAGCAGCCAGAGAGGAGGCTGCAGGGTGGTTGATGGATACTTGTGGGGCCCCCGGGGGAGCTCAAAGGAGTAACAGTAACCAGCCAGAACCTAACATCTAGAAGGCACTCAGTCATCAGAAACAGCTGCTAAAAGCATTTTCTTGAGCATGACAAGGGACCTAGGGAAAAGAGACCTGAAGCCGAGGAGCTGGGTGAAATGCTTGGAGATAGAAATGGAAAGTTTCGGAGTTTAATTTTGACTTAGAACCCACAGAAGTACCACCCTCTCCCTAGAGCAGAGAAGTGCTATAAAGGCATGAGGCAGATACCATTGTAATACTTCAGTTAATAATCATAATAATCACTACCAACTATTGAATTCTTCCTAAATAAAAGTTCTTTTCTTGCAAAATCTCACTTAACTTTTTGTTCATCTGATAAAAATGTACCTTGGTTAGTTAGTACTTACAGCCATTGAATAATTTAATTCCATTCAACTAGCTGTATTATGTAACCTACAGATACACTAATGAGGTAAAAGGTGTTGGTAGCAGGACTGTTCACCTATATATTGACTGACCAGCTATAATTTATAGCCCAAGATTCCCTCTCGCTGAATTCCAAACAGTCAATGTAGCATGTAGTTCTCCAAGGACAGCGCCCAGAAATAAAAACAGCTACCAGTTAGTAGACCACCTATCAACTCTCCATTTTAATTTTACAACAATATGGGGAAATACGTATTGCTTTATTTTTACAAAAGTGGACACTGAGGCTCAGAGAGGGGGCCAAGGTAATATGCCAAAGCTCCATGGATAGAAGATGGCAGAAGCAAGATATGAACACAGCCTGAAAGACTCCCAAGCCTGTCTTTTCCCCTGCCCCATGCTCAGGCCCTGTTTCTACATTCCAGCTAGAAAGGGCTGCCTTTAGAATTGAAGAAATTTGTCTGGGCTTAAGCACAATAAGAGCTGAGCACATCAGCACCTTGACCCATTTATAGCACTGTTACTAACAATGCACAGTTAGGAGTAATAAGTTTAAAGAGTGGAGGACTTGTGTGTAATTCCCATTCCCCACTCCCCCCCCACCCCCCACCCCGGAGACAGTGGGAGGAAAAACCAAAGGGCAGCAGTCAATGAGCAGGTGGAGAGGAGGCAAAGAGACCTCTCAAACTCAAGTCCCTGGTTCCGTGATGACATCACAGTCAAGTAATTTTTTTCTAAAGTGTTTTCAAATATTTGGACTGAATTTGGTACAATGGCAGGGTCCTGTGGTTAGAGGCAGGTGAGTTGGGATCAGGGGCGCAACTGGACCACCTACATCTCTTGAGCTCTCTCTCCCCTTCTGTGAAAAGCCTCACAGTAAGGCATTTGTGCAGAAGTGCTCTGTGACCCATTTATAAGCACTGGCCCTTGGTGTCATTAAATCATTACTGTCTATGCTACCCAAACATCTCAAACAGGATATTTCATCTTCCAGATTTCTTTACTTCTCTAAAATCAAACACCTTTTATGAATCTAAATATCCAAAGTAAAAATTATTTAGCGTCCTTTTTTCTCCTTTTTGGTCCCCATTCCACTTTGTTCTGAGCACTTCACTGGTTCTCAGCTCCTTTGTAGGCATTAAGGGTCTTGGTTTTTTCATACAACTGGCTACATTTTCCCCTTCCTACCTTAATGTGAAAAAACAACAGCCCTTGGAGAGCTAGGGAGTTTCCCATCAACCTGTGAATCATATTTACACACACAGGAATGAGGGGTTTTTAATGAAACCACATTTAACCCAGAGAACAAATCTACAAAATCGAAATAAAAAATCATTAAAGGTGAAACTGCCCTTAAGTACCCTTTCTAAAGGAGCTGCCTTGTTTATTTCTTTTTCACTACTGGCTGAATATTTCACATAGTCTAATGCTCATGATGCTGTGAAACCAGCTTGTCTTTCCCCAATGCCTGGGGAAGAAATTGGTCCTAGGAGGTAGAGTGATTATAAGGTTAGTTATAAAGTTAAAATGCAACCTAGGGGAGCCTCTTGATTTTTAATCAAGCTGCGTTCCTTTTCTTCAAAAAGAGACATGTTTAGCCTTTTTAAATATGTAGACAAACATTTAAAAGTGTACACACTATTGTACATTGAAGGAGATCCCACAGAGAACTGAGGACAGACACATCAACAAAGCCCAAGAGAACCTGTACCTAAAATGAGGCTGCTTGCCCTGATTTCTCCATGATCAAAGCTAAGTCGACTCAAGAATGAGAATGAGAACCTCA